AAAAAAATAAAATATCCCAACAATGAACAAGCAAATTTGATAATACTAATTTCAATGAGAATTTTTTTTACTTGTGCCTTTATAGGCATAAGGGTTTTGAAAGATTAAAAAGTAATATTTAATTTATTAATTATTTAATTAAATTTATTTACATAATAATATTAAAATTAATATTTATTTATATATTTTTTATATAAATTTGTAATAAAAAAAATACCCTTAATCTTTATAGTATAGAAAAATCCTTTCACTAAAAGGAAGTGTTTGTTAGTCAACTAAAACAAGCATGTATGCCACCTGTGCCCTGAGCGCGAGGCGAACCCATGGGGTAAAAGGTCGCTGCCTCCACCAACTTTTTCTGTAGGGGGTGCTCCCTAGCAGACCCAAACCTAGAACACGAGTTGGCAACAGAGAATTATGCCCCCTTTTTTTCCGTTAAGGAATTGTACTTATTAGCGGCGTTCACGAGTAGAGATGACAATTTCCCTCCATCATTGCGGGGATTCCATCAGAGGAATGGGACGGGAAAGAATATTTTTTTTTTTGCGAGACAGGAATGGAGAGCATTTTTCTTTTGTGAAATTTCGTGAGAAATTTTTCTTGCTCCATGGGCCCTGCAGGGATCTCGTCCCTACAAAAATTAAAACAAATATAAATTAATTTTATTTTAAATTTAATTCACCTTTCAAACTCAAATCCAAACCCAAATCCAAACCCAAATCCAAACTCAAGTTCAAACTCAAGTTCAAACTCAATTCAATCAAAATTAAACTTAACTCAATTTTACCCAACCCAACCCAATCCCTAAAAATTAACCCAACTCATTCCCCTACTTACATTTAACCCTAATCCTAATTCATTTATCAATTTTCATTTTCACCTTCCTCGGCTTTCCCTCTCCTTCTATTGTGCAACTCTACCATGTGAATGCCTTCCATTCCATTGCCATCCTTCTACGATTCTACCTTTGCCCTTCTCAGTGCTCACCTTCTACCGCCCTTTATTTTATCCTTTGCATAGGCCAAACCATCTCAAATCCCATTCCCTTCACTGCACTGCTGGTCTGCTGCTGCTAAAGCCATCTACCTGTTGCTGCAAAACTGTCGAAGCCATCTACTTGCTGCTACCAAATTGTCGAAGCCATCTACTTGCTGCTACCAAACTGCTAAAGCCATCTACTTACTACTAAAGCCATCTACTTGTTGCTATCTGGACTACCAAAGCCATATGCGGTTCTATTGCGGCCTTGCCCTTCTTGGTACTGATTTTCTTTATTTTCAAAATACTGATTTTTTTTATGTTGGTTTAATTATTTTATTTATGTTGGTTTAATTTTTACTTATGTTTTAGTTTAGCTTGTATTAATCTTTGTTTATATTTGGAACAAATTTGCTAATTGTTGGTTTAGTTATTTATATTGAATTTATTTTTATTTATATTTGGACAATTTATATATGATTTATATTTAAAAATTTTAAAAAATTTTAGTTAATTGTATTTGAATTTTTAAAATTTTATTTATTATAATTGAATATTAATTAATTATATGTAAAAGACAAAAAAATTTATAATTTAATATGAATTGGTGGGGAATGGGGATAGAAGGCAAAATCTGCCCCTCGTCAAAAATCCCCGCGGGAATCCTCGTCCTAGCCATTCGCGGGGATGAGGACGACAATAGGAAAAGACTCCCCGGCTTCGCGGGACCCCATTGACATCCTTATTCATGAGTGGTTTGATTTGAATTTTAATATTTTTTAAATTAATTCAATTTAATCAATTAAAATTTTTAATCAATCTAATATATTATTATACGATAATCAAATCAATTTAATTTAAATCGAATTAGTATAGTTTAATCGGATTACTCGATTTTTAA